TTATTTTTTGTATCAATAAAAATAAACGATTCTAAATAACCTCGCTAAACTGTGTTGTTTACAAAGTTTGAACATTAAATAATATAATCACGTCGGTCTATGAAAATATCTAAAACGTGTATTTATAATTCGACAAACCCAAAATGCAAATTCTACTGCATACAATAGTCTATAGAGTATAATGATACTATATAGTATTATTCAGAGTACATTCATATAGTCTTTAGACTTGTTAATCTGTAAATAAAATGTATAATAAAATAAAATAAAAATGGTTTTCTGTTTTCCACGGTTGCAGCCCGTCGTAAGTCGTTGCGGACACACACGATGATAATAATATTATCGAAATCCGACGTCGGGTGAACCTCATCGTTCACTAATTGGTCTTTTACGATAAAAATGTAGCATTGGAAATCGACAGATATCGTCGAAGCAGTCGGCCTATAAAAATATAGAAATTAATGTTTTTGTCTGATAATCCCAGTGGCCTATATTATTTCAGATTTCGTAGGTACTTTCCAGTGACTTATGACCTTTTGATAAGTATTTTTTATGGTGTAACATAATATACAAAACATATTATCGGATAAGTTTAATAAAAGACCTAATTACAAAAAGAAAAAAAAATAGTACAGAGAATCAATTTCGTTTTTAGAAAATAACTTAAAATACATAATAGCATACCTATCAATAATATCATAAGTATAATAATATTATTATTGTCAAGCTTCACTATGATAATCAAAATAACATAGACACATACGTCATTATAAAAATTCGGTTTACTGAATAATTTACTGAATAAAAACATAAACGTCAATCATTAAAATATAAATTAATAATTGCATGCACGACAATGTTGGCGTCAACAAACGAAAATTTATGGCGTTTATGTTCGCTTACCTGCCAGCGAGTCATATTTTCTGCACTTTAATAAACTAAAAAAAATAGGTATCTCGGGTACCCGTGGAAGTGTAGAAAGTATGAATTAATTAATTTATAACAATTTACATGTAAAAATAGTATGCCGTCTTTGGCGCAGATAAATACTAAATAGACCATGCTCAAACGATAAACACCCCTTCGACCGAAGTCATTATGATTCTACACTCCTCACTCACTACATAAATAATATGTTATAATATAACATGGTTAGGTTACACTTTTTTGATTATAATAATTACGATTTATAATAAAATATTTTTCCTATACGAGTAACGACTAATCGTGCCGAAAACTATTAAGGGCCGTTCTTACAATGTCCAGTTAAAGTTAACCGACACTTTACAGAACATTGTAAGAACGGCCCTAAGTCTTAGTAACTAATTTTAGTAATAATAATTAATAAACATACTTACGTAAATAACACATTTTTAATTTACTACGAAGAGGTAGGTCTCTAGGTATTAATTTATTGGCTACCTTTACGGTCAAAACAATATGTAACGTGGTCGGGGAAACGACCAGGTAAATGTAACATATCCAGGGATCGTCATAGATATAATCGGGGCGGTTCGTCAGGAGAGACATGTAGACTTCGTCTCCTATTAAAAAACAAAACCAGCTACTAGTAAATAATAATTGATTTAAAATTAAAATGCATAAAAGTATTTATATCTGAATTTAAAATAATATATCATATAATCGTTTTCTATATTTATTGAAGTCCACAAAACCTATAAATAGTAATTTCGATGGAAAATTATTTGAGTAATTTGAACGACGGTCGCCGTTCAGTGGAACTGCCGCCCGACAGTTTCAATCATAACAATATTATGTAATGTTTATGCTAGATGGACGGAGGGGGCCGCGGAGAATAACCAGTATAGTTAAACCAGTATAATATGTGTATAATATGCTCTATTGAACCACCATATTCACAATACCTATATTGTGCCGTGCCTTTGTTAGCCTATTGTACTACAGTCTACAAGTGTAGTACTGTACGCCGTCATAATTTATTATTATAGAAACTGTAGAAGCTAATTAAATGAATATTTACTAGCTTTACCAGCTACTGGATAATTATAATTACCGTAGCCAGGGCCCAGATATAATATAGATATCAGAATCTTAAATATTATTTTTAAACAACTCCATTTATAACCACATATTTAATTTCGTTTCAGTTAATATTATTGTCTACTAAACACTTACTAATTATTAATAATCGCAAATATGTAAATTACGTTCAATCATACTATAATATGTGTAGTCGTACGGAGTTCAGTATGTGTAGTGCGTTGAAGTCTACAGCGAACTAACTTATATAATAGTATGGTGTGCGTTGGCCATAAAGGCCTTACAATTATGTGTGTGCAAATATTATTGTATCGGTCAGTAGCTGTTTGCACATAATTTATAGTTTGTATCATATTATAAAAAAGTACAAAGGTGTCATGTTACATATTTATATTTATAATTATTACGAATAGCTTAAATTACAATATCGACATGTAATGACGTAGGTAGGTAGAGATATATTTTAATAAACGGATATTATACTTATCGAAAAATAATACGATTTATAATAATAGTATTAATAATATATAATCGCTTGACAACCAATAAGTGTTCGATTTTAATTTCGACTGTTATCCAAAATTCAACGAAGTTAATTTATTCTCTATTATAAGGGTGTAAATATTATAAATTTTCAGATACGAGGGTCTTTTAGAGAAATACTCGTCATATGCGTAAGTCGTATATTATATATTATAAATGTTATACCAAAACCTACCCGTCTTAAATACGGCCACGTGTAGGTTTCTTTAGAAACGGCGGAGACAGTCTATCGTTTTAGTTTATACGAATTTTAATGGGACCCTTTTTCGACCCAATTAATTGAACATTGACTACCTATAATATTAAATTATATAGCAGGGGTGGCCAAAATCGTTTCGATTACGTTCTGCGGAGAGTATGTTTTTCGTGTTTCAATACTGTATCAATAAGCTAATGTACACATTATGCTCGTAAATATACTTATAAAAATATGACAACGAATAATATTTCGATGGTAACTTTAGGTTTTGATATATATTTTATTATAATTTCTTATAGAATCTCAGTGAAGGTAACGTCCTGCCCTCGTCTGGCTCGTCACCGCCACTGAATGACGAATATTTTTATTTTAAATATCATAATCGTTTTATTCACTAATCTACGTGTGTATATTATAAACGAATTTTTTTATTTAATTTTTCAATTAAATTCTTGTTAACAAAAGATATTATTTAGGTAGGATATTATTTATACAATTAAGAGTTATAATTAATCGATACTTTCAGTACTCCTATACTTCATTTTCATTGTACACTTTCTCCGGGCACTAAATAGATAGGTACTAATTTCCATTTTAATAATCTGAAATGACAATATTGAACTGTAAATACGTACATACTAAACGAATATTATAATACGCATCGCATAATAATATAAATTATTATACAATTATATGACTTACGATAAACGTGAGTTGGAGTTTGAACTGTAATCAAGAATTAAAACTAATTTATTTACATTCTATTGTTATAGCGGTATTATTTAAATTTCCAAAAACAAGATTCTTCTAGAAGAAATACTTATAATACCTACACTTAGGCGGTAAATAATGTTCATAAAAAGGTGTTCCATTAACATACAGCCGCGGACGGGGCACAACCCTCGAGTCGTCTTTTATAATATTATGCTTAAAATCTGTTTAGATACTCTCAGAAAGACAAACGTTTTACACGAACTTCTATGGCCACCTATTTCTGCCGGTGTCATTTCGATAGTCACTACAATATGAATAAATTATATTATAGCAGATAAACAATTAACAATTAGAAAATGTCCAAATTATTTAGAGTAAGAAATTCATAACGATTTTATTTTTAAATCTAAGATTTGAAAATTTAATTCAAAATTCCTATTAAGTTTGTCTATCTTTAACAAAAAAAAAAAATCTACCTGAAATTCATATTACATTTTTATATACCTACAAATTTTTAAATAATTTGAATTTGAATAAAATTTAAGAATGATTTTGTAATAAAAATATATATAATTTTTAACTTCTATAGCTAATTATTAAAAATTTAAAACTAGCTTCCTCATAAATAATTAAATAAATTACTTAATTCACAATAATATCATCAAATATACTTAATAATAAATTACAGGCTGACTGACTGTCTTCGCTCAGAATCGTTTTTCGTATACTATGATAATATTAAATCATTGAATTCAAATTTAACACTTTCCATTACAGTGATCCACCTGTAACCTATTGTACAGCAGAGCGAAACCCACTTTCGCACCATTTTTTCAATTATGTTCTACTGTGAATATATAATTTCTGGAAGAGTCGAAAAAAAAACATTTTTTATTTTTATGTCTTTACAACTAACAGCTCTTTTCGTCTTTTATATTATAATGTTATAATATTCTAAAGATTTGTGAAGATATTATAAAGTCTCGGGCCGATACTCGTTCACACGGACTTTATAACGGGAACCTTTCCCAGCCGGTTTCATTCTATACAATCACTAAATTAATATATTATTATACATATAGGTATACAGGGGTGAAGATTTTTTCGATTATGTTCTGTTGAGAAAATATTGTTTGATTGTCATATGGCTTCACGTCAAAAACATTTTTTTTATTTTTAAGTATTTATATTTAACATTATTTATAACAATAAACATACTTGCAGTACCTATAGGTATAAATGATAACGTTCAAATGGAAAATTGTATTAAATTAAATGCGTGTTTCAACATCAAATTTATAAATAATTTCAAAATTAACTTAACATTGCATACTGTTGGAGTTTAATTTTTGCTTAACCGGTTGGCTAGTTTATCATATTATAATTATCTTGAGGATATAGACTGCTAAACAAAAGGCGCTAAATAATTTCTCGAACACGGACGCGTTTTCGTGCAACCGACCTTCATCGGATATCTTTAAAGCTGGACCACTGCCGTAGAATGTTTTCTAGACGGCCTACCTCACGTCCAGCGACATTCTGTCGGGTATTCGCTGTTCAGCTTTCGCAAGCTGTGATACCTGTGACGGTCGTTCAGTTCTATATATTGGGTCCATGTGAAATCACTACTAGTCTCATTATCGCCTAATATTTGTTCTATCATTTTCACGTCTACTGGCGATGGTATCCCTGTGGTCGGTTTTTTTCCATAGCTGGTCGTGGGGGTGAGTTTTTTCCCGGTGATTTTTATTCCGCAATTCATATAATCGTATAACATAATGCTGCACCTACTATATGTATGCGAGACTAAGTTCTAACTGAGGTTGGTAAGTTGGTCTACTCTGCAACAGTAAGAGGTTAGGACAATTTTGCCACCCATGTTCTATAATACGGTTTTCGCCGCTATATAACAGTATAACACTACAACATTATATTCTAAGAAACTTCTTCAGACCCAAAAATAACTGTTTTTATAACAAAAAGTATCGGATCGACATGCCGCCACGGGTCTTCTTCTTTAGAAACGTGTACGTGTACACGACAATAATATCAATGGCAACCACCTTTTTCAACAAATGTCAAATCGACGCACGGTGCAATATATTATACTTAGTCACCCCTCGTTCCTACTCTTAACGTATATATAATATAATTCTGGGAATCGATGAGCGATGGCGAGGTGGACGAGTGGTATTGGTTGTGGTGGTGTACTGCCGAATAAAAAAAAAAAACAGTTTTACTTTAAAACGCACATAAGTTTTACTGGCTCGGTGGGTAGGTGTGTCGCTGTAATAATAATAGTATTATCGTATATACACATCTATATAGCATTGTGAGTGCGTTTGGCACGATTTCAAGGCCGATCGAGACGGCGTCCGCACCGACGTCAATTATATCAACACAGCGATATTATCCCGAATGACGAGTATGTGTGAAATGTATGAGTTCGCGTTCAGGTTTCGAAGAAAACACTTAATAATACATTATTCTCGACTGTAATTATTATTGTTAGGTATTTACTAATATTTGATTGGATGTTAAAACGGTTATAATACAATTAATTTAATGACAGAATAATTTCTCTATTAAAATACTTTTGAAATGTTCCCAAAATATTGGTGCCTAATTGTTTTTAACTATAACTGTATGGATATTTAATAAGATTATTTACCTAATACCACAGGCGTCTAATATATTTTATTGTACAGTTTACAGTTTAAATAACCTACCAAGGCTTTGAAGGATCGACCTTCAATTCACCGAGAGACGACCAAATCGACGGTACCCGCAGTTTTTCTTGATTCTACACCTGTGGTAAGTATCTACATTGCTATATTTTAGACTTAAGTGCGGGTGCAATAATTTTTTTGGTAAAATTTCTTGCTCCCGTTAAATATATAATGCAGAATGATTTAATTAACAATGCTAGGATTGCCACAAATTTTAATTTACTTAAATCGGGACAAACGTTTTTCCTACATAAATCTCATGGGAAAAATCTTACTGCCAACCACTAATTTTAACGTCATATTTCAACATAAGTATGTTTTGGGCTGGTACACGGAAAAAAAATTAATATAATATTATAGTCGAACCAATTATAGTAAATATAACGATTTAATAGGTAAAATAACTAAAATGATTTACTTATTATGAGTTATGACTATATAAATATAGTTATTTTTTATAGTAATGTTTACTATATTTTATAGTTAATGCAGTTTTTAATATTTGAATTAATTAAAAAGTATAGTTAAAATAGCATATTTTAGTGACTACAATCACTACGCTCAGTAGGATGTTCCAATTTAAATATTAATAGCAAATTTGAATTCTTATCTAAATGTATTTGACTGTCGTAGATTTTTCATGTTCTATATAAATGTATTTAAATTTAAATTATGAATATGATCTATTTTTACTTTTTTTGTTAGTAAATTTCTAAGTAAAAATAATAAAAATCAGAAATATTAATGTCAAAGCATAGATAATTTAGTGAGGAATTCAAATCTGCTTTCAAAATTAATATCAGATATTGGGAGTGGTGATTGAAGTCGTGAGGTATGTTTTTGACTACATGTTTACATGACTACATGTTTTCGACTACATAAATAGGTCTTCTAAGTACCTACATATTAGCACATTACAAGATCAATTTTTTTAGTGAAAAACTTAAATACAATTTTTATAAAAAAACAATTTTTTGTGTTAAGTGCTAAAATGTTATTAAGTACCTACTATAGTACTATTTTCACATAGTTCTTTTTCACATTATACCTGTATAACATTAATTATTCAATTATGATTGGGTAGTTTTTAGAACAAAATATTTTATCGTACACTTATTCTTACAATATAACAATATTAGATATTATGAATAAACTACTTTTAAATTGTATTCATAAATGATAAGTAAGTTATAAAAGCATTGTAACATAAATATTAATTGCTCGCTCGTTATACAAATACCTCACGGTACCTACTACAGTCAACTCGCGATATAACGAATTTCAAGGGACCGAGAAAAAAATTCGTTATATCGAAAGTTCGTTACATCGAAATTATATTATACCGCGATATTTTCAAGGGACCGGTAGTTTTATTCGTTATATCAAGATTTTCGTTATATCGATATTCGAGTTTTTTGTAATAATAACAATAATCCATCAATTACAATTAAACGATGTTTTAACTTTTTGGTTTAACTATAATAAGATATTTCGGCACCGATACTTGGCTCTTACAACCGATAATATTAAAAATGCTACCTATTTTCAACTATATTTTATAATATTAAATTACCTGCTTTTATCGCATACGTCAAATATTTATTGCCCAATTTTTAGTTGTAATAACCACATAATTCATGTCTAATTATGGCTGAGAAGCATCGGCAGAATAACTGTCATTTGTCAAAAGACGAACTATAAAATGTAGTTTAATTTTTTGCTTAATACCTAATATGTAAGTAGGTATTTCTTTATTTTAGAAATTGGTAACCACTGAATGTACCTATAAATAAAATTTATTCAATTATGATCGGGTATTTTTAAAATATTATTATCTTACGAATTAATTAATTTTCAATTTTAGTCATAAGTTCTAAGTTAGTAATAACAACAATGTAATATAAAACGTTAATTTACGAAGTGTTCGTTTTTGCCCAAGGTACGAATAAACTGTCTTATTGTTCAAATTAAATAATGTGTTAAGTTTTTGGTTTAATAGATATAAATAATACGGTATTTTTAATCCGATACTTTTCTCTTAAAATCGATAGTGAGATATTAAAATACTGCATGAAAGTATTCCCAAAATGTTTGATTAAAAATACCACAGAAATATAATATTCAATAAAGTCTTGTAACGCTATGTGAAGATGCCTCTGGTGATCTATGTCACCTAATTGTAATTCTAAAATAAAACGTAATTTCTATTGATAATATTTCTAAAGTTACGCTTAGGTATACCTCGTTTTTTTCTTTCGTTTTGATCCCGCTTTAATAAAATAATAGATATTGTAACAGATTTGAATCGAATCAGTTTTTTTCGTAATTAATTTAACATGCAAATGTATAAAAGTACCTAGGTGCCGAGACCTACCTACATATAAATAAACCGCGCTATCATATAAAATAATATGACTACATTTTCACAATAAATTGCATTTTAAAATCGTTTGTAATATTACGAGTTAATAATGTATATGAACGACGGCTATACGTCGTGATTAAAAAAATAGATAAATATATCCTATACATTATTTTTATACCTATTGTATTATGGGTTGGCCTTACACAATAAGCATTCCTCGCTATAGCCAATGGGCGACATTGGACAACCCTTTCTCTAGACACTGCGCAATAACCGTCTGTGCGGGTGAAGGGCAGGGAAGAGTAGACGTTCCGAACAAATATTTACAGCAGATAATACCTATCTATCGATTTAGTAAAACATATTTTGAATTTTGATGGTTATAAAATATAAAAGTGTTGTGGTGTAAAATAATTATCTAATATATTTCGGACGTTTTTAACTGTCATGCTAACTATAGAACTTGTAAATTGTAATGTCCGTGGTAAAAATATAATCAAACGGGTTTTCTGCTTTACAAATTTAGGGATTCTCCTGCATCATTATCATAGTTTTTTTTCGTAAACGTTCTGATTAGAATCAAGAACTAAGATAGTTTATGATTAGATTTAAAATTTTTTTTTTATTTTCTGATTTAAATGTTGTGAGTTGAGACGACGTTAAATAGTAATTCGATTTCATAATTATTATGATATCACCAATATTTCATAATCGCCATAGATACGTAGTATACAGTACCTAGTACCTAGTAGATATAGGTACATAATATAATAGATTTCCAACTCGTGTTAATAGTTGTAGTAAAAATCCTATAATTTTCGTGAGAATTATGGGTTTCGTACCTACTGTTATTTTAATGAAATGAAATATGAACACAAAATTTTAAAATTAAAATATCGAAAACCAAAAACTAGTTCATGCATGTCAATTCACAATTTTTTTCAAATTTAGATTCGTATTTGCACTGTGCAGCTATTTATTTAAATTAAGAGTTAATATTGTGGAGTTATTTTATGTATTGAGCTATTGAAATTTAAAAATATCCACATACTCTGCGAAAAAAAATTGTGAGCACGCTAAATAACCAGCACAACCTGCAATTATAATCGAACAGCGCAGCAGTGAAAAGTTCGATTTTTTAACCAAATGTTGACACTGAAATAATGTTTTTCTGAAAAGGATTTACCGTCTACATTTTTAGCAAAATTATAACTTAACCTTTAACGGTTCCTCAATGATAAGTCGGTATTTATTACATAACATCACCAACATAGACTACTATATTATGCTACCTTATACGCATCGTTTTTTAACCGTTTACACGACTGTAAAATTTACCTAAAAAAACGAAATTACCTATCGACATATTTGAATTAGTTATTGTTGAATTTTTCAATTAAATTTATTTTGTGTTAATTTTTGACTGATTTGTAGTTTGTACATATAAAATATTATTTATATATAAATCATATTACGTTTTAATTGTTTTTAATTTATATATAGAGTACCTATATATTTAACCTATACTAGCTGATCCCGTGCACTTCGTCGCCCGTTAAATGGATCAACTCAATACTACCTACTCAAACTTTGTTCAATTCATTAACGTGTATGGTGTTCAAAATTTATCTTATCTTTCCCGTTGCCCTGAATAAAAATTCTGAATCGCAGCAGTACATTATC